TTGTAGTACCGATGTCCTACATAATACATGCAACAAGAAAGAGAGGGAGCAGGAGGGTGGGTAAGTGTGAAAATGAGAGCGATGTGGCTGAATATCTCGAGTGGGGAAAAAGGAAGAAAGGAAGAGTCAGAAATGTGCCATGTACATAAGTACTCCTTGCGGGACTGGATCGCTGGTCTCCAAGGTGAGACCAGGCCATCTCGGGGAGAGGAGATGTCATTTCGTCCCCAGGCGCCCGTGCACCTCGTCATCTTGGGGAGAGGAGATGTGGTTTCGTCCCCAGGCACCCGTGTGCCTCGATTAGACTATAGTAAAAAAATTTTAAACTCGACTAATCGAATAAGGGTGAAGAGCGTCCGAAGCCTTATATAGATGTAAATAGGCAAAGACAGAGTTCTCCAGGTGCGCCGCGCACCTGGAGAACCCGCTAAGATGTCCATTTTGTAGTACCGATGTCCTATTATACCTATTGAAAGTGTTAAAGGGAAGGGAAGGGAGGGTTAAGTAGAGTGGAGATATTAGAAGTTGAGTGAAGTGGAAGACGGAGGGATGATTGTAAGGTGCCGGAAAATGGAAGGATGTTGAGGTAAGTGTCCGAGGCATGGAATATAAAGTTCAAGGAATAGAAAAGATCAGAGTCAGTATAAAAACAAGAGAATGCATAAAAAATTGTCAAATGCCAGATGCAGGTTGGTGAGCAGGTCGACCAAAGAGCATGGCTTGGAGAAGGACGGGATTCTTTCTGATGTAGATCTTGAAAGTATCCGTCACCCAACGTCCCGTAGCTTGGATGATCTTGGGTGAAACACCAGCTTCAGCTAAAGAGGTAGCACCTCCGGCTCGCATTGATTGCCCTGCGATGTCAGAGGGGAAAAAACGGCGAAGTTTCTTGATGAACCAGGAATGCGTCGGCACAAAGCCAGACTTACGTAACCATAATTCAGGCTTGAGGGGGTGGAGATTATCTCGCAAGGTGAGATATGATAAGAGAAACTTGTGCGGGTTGGATGGGAGGTTTGTTTTTTGAATTAAGATAGTGTTCCCTTCAAAAAAGCGGTCGGCCTTATGGCCAGGCAGCAAGAAAGAGTAGGATGTTGACGATATTTTGACAGTATGCCGTAGAGTGACTTTGCGATAGTCATGAGAGTCGACTCTATCAGGAAAAGTTAACTCGCCAAGTCACAAAAGGCCATGAAAACCGGTGAATAAGATGGCGAGGAACAGTTTCTCATCGTGATCTAGGGAGGCGCCAATCTGGGATATGACAGTATCCAAATCGGTTTTTGATAAGGGACGTTTGCGATGTACAGGTGTCCCAAAGCGGCGTCGGCATCCAGCAAGGGTTCGAGAAACCAAAATGCTTCCCCGCCGCTTGCGGACATCAGGGAAGAAAGGCTCCAGTTGGTTGCAAATGCCCGAGAGATATGAGTTGACTGAGTCAGGTTTAATATGAGTGGACATGTATACAATGAAGAAGCTGAAGGTTTCTTCAGTTGGTTCTATGGGGAAATTGTGTATTTTGCAGAAAGTGAGGTATGAGTTGAGTGCAGAGGTGTAGGTGAGATGAGTTGAGTTATCGATAGCGAGCCCCAGAGCTATAGACCGCTCGTGCACAAGACGATCTAATGTCCACAGTTCTCGATGGGGTTGACAAGAACCGCGCGAAATGTGGATCATTTTTTGATTACCCCCAGCTGAACTCGAGGGGGCTGAATATAGTTGTTGATGTGAGATTTGGTGAACGAGTGTGGGATAGAAAAACAAGAGAAATCAGGATGGGCAGTCAGTGCCCTTGTGTCCGGACTTTGTGCATTTGTTGCAAACATGAAGGCGGCGACACTGAGAAGACTCAAGTGAGCATAAGCCCTCATTCCATCGGTTGCATGGCTCTTGTATCTTCTTCCGAAGGGTCGAACTGGGTTTGCCAAGAGAGGCACGCTGAACAACGGCGGCACCAATTGAGTCCATGTGGGTCGACCTGAGATCTGAGAATTTATTGATATCCGTGAGCTCCAAATCGCGATGAGCGCCAACGCGACGGTGGACAGCTTTGTCGAAAAGGATAACACGGTCATGGAAGTGCACATCAGTCACAGTGAAAAGTGCAACGATATACTCAGCGTATTCTGCCAACTCCCCGGCTCTGTGCGGGAAAGCAGTTGATGTTGCTTGTGATGCCCTATTCCAGGCAATGCTCCATTCCCCAGCCGTAGAAACTGTCTTGGTGGGGACAACTGTTCCAAAATGTATTTCAAAGTCCCCAATTTCCTCCACTCGCTCATCATTGTTAGACGTCGAGTAGTAACCGGTGAGGACAGCGTCGAGATTGACAGCTCTCCCTGCAAGAATGTTAGTCCATTCTGAGTCCGGAAATTCAGGACATGTCGGGGAATTGACAAGGGAACACTTCGTCCCTTTTGGATCAATGGCATAGAGCTTGAGCAAATCAAGTGTGCTTGTGAGTGACAGCGATAAAGTAACACGATGAATAAAGTCAGATATGACCCATGGATATTGAGAATTGTCTGGCTTTGCTCGCTTGTTGGGTGTCTCACTGTTGTTGGGATCTCCTTTCTCAACATCATTGTCTGGTGGAGTTGCTGAACGTTGTCGACGACTGCGATGCTGAGCCTCCTCAAGATGATGTTGATGATTCTCAATGATAATGAGATAGCGACCAAAGGCATCTTCAATAGTCGAAGCAAAAGAAATGTCATTTTCCAGGATAGCTTCCAGTAAATGGGTGTAAATTCTGGATAGGGCAGCTGCCTTAGAAACCCGTGATGACCTAAAATTCTCGAGGACGGCGTTGCACGAAGCGAGGACTTTGTTCGCAGCCGGGAAATTCCCAGGCAAGCTTGGATCACTCTGCTCGGTGTCGTCCTGTGCCAGATTTTGGTTCTGAATTTGATCTTGCCCTTCATGATGTAATTCTTGATCCCCTTGACTTTGATCACGATTCTGTTCATTCCCAGAGGTTGACTGAGTGCCAGGACCAGAAGCAGTAGGAGTATCGAGAGTATCATTGCTGGTAGACATAGAGTAAATGAAGACTTGTCTGATGCAACTGTAGGTTGATAACTAAGTGTGAAAACGAGAGCGATGTGGCTGAATATCTCGAGTGGGGAAAAAGGAAGAAAGGAAGAGTCAGAAATGTGCCATGTACATAAGTACTCCTCGCAGGACTGGATCGCTGGTCTCCGAGGTGAGACCAGGCCATCTCGGGGAGAGGAGATGTCATTTCGTCCCCAGGCGCCCATGTGCCTTGTCATCTCGGGGAGAGGAGATGAGTGGTACCTACCACTTTTATGATAAAATTTAGGCAAGTGCCTGCACAACTTTTTGGACACTGCCCAGGTTTTTTATGAAATGAGAAATGTAGGGCAAGCATTATGAAATGTGTTTCATTCCCTCCCATAATTGTTTCATATCCATTTTATTCCTTCCCTATACCTTTTCATAACTATTTCTTTTTTGTCTGGCCATTTATTTCATTGCCCCTTAGTCCCATTTCTTTCCTGTTTCTTTGTTGCCTAGCTTTTCATTTCATTGCCTCCCCAGGGTTATTTCTTTCCTACCCAGTAATTTCTTATTGTTGCCTAGCTATTTCATTTCATAGTTGTAAATATCTTCCTGGGACTTGATTATGTAATACATGTGATGCCTTGTAAAATGTCTTTACCTTGCTATCCC